GAAAAGGCAAAGAAGGGCCTCGAGAAGTTGGCAAGTACTTTGTTATTCTTGTTATTCTTGCGATATTTATCAGGGTAGCTTTTTGTTGCAATGAAATTCCTTGTTACTTTTGCGATTTTAGATTCTAGATTTCTGCAAGCAGTTTCTATTTAACATGTTTTTGCTAAAATTGCGACAAAAATCAGTTGCTGCTAGCAGGCCCCGGTTGTTAAACTGGTGCGGGATATCGCTTTGCACGGGACAATTCCTTATAATTCCAGACAATAACGTAATTGGTTTTCCTAATACTTATTCAATGGATAGGGATTATCTACTCTATAGACGTATCCACCTTTTTGATAAGTGGGCCAGGTGGATTGGCGTAAAAGGCGGGAGATATTTTTGCCTTTAAAGTCACTTTTGACCACGTGCTCTCCAATGAATCCATCTCTATTCTTCTGTAAAAATGAAGTAGTCTTCTATGTTTGTATCTTTATACTATTAGCCTAGCTCATCTAGTTCAAAAACGAGTTGTTTGGCCACCATTCTGAAGGCTGATGGTAAACCACTTTGTGCCTCTTAAACTTAATATCTGCTAGATACATTCAGTATCAATCCTTTTCAGCGCTGGATCCTTTATATTTAACTATCGTGTCATGTTGCCCCCGTCATTTCAAAACATCTTCCTTAACCGGCGATCAACCCGTCATAATCACCATACAAGATCTGCTGAGCCTATAGTCCATAGGCCTGTTTTGTAGTATAATATATAGTAACGCCGTATGCCTTGCATTCATGTATAAGAAACTTTCTATATATACGTGATAGCATGTAGGAAAGTATTAACTCGTGATATTTTCTTTGCTGTCATGAGCTCAGAATGCTGCTTCTTGCATCATTACAAAGATCAATGCTTATTGTCGTCAAAACCGTCCAGAATCATGAAACTGTGATCATTACAAAAGCTTGTGTCCTCAAAGTCGATTTCTCTCTTTAATCCTGTATATGCTATACCCTGAAAATATTGTTACTGAATATTTTCCCACTGCAAACTAAGCATGCTGGTTACTCGTCATGTATTTCTGCTCTATTATTTCCCCGGCTTTCATATCAGTAATACATGATCATGAGTATCCTTTTATCGAAACATTTTAATACGTATGCCATGAGCTGAAGCTAGCTGAAAATCTTCTGCAAAGCCGCCTCTCGGAGGCTTATCATCCACACCAAACTGAAGGGGACAAAAAGAGACTTACAACGCTTTACGAACACTGATGAGAAGTCGACAGGCTCCTAAAGTTAGATCCACTGCATTTTTAGACCATTTTCTATCTCGCGATCATTCATCTACCGACATAAAGCTTATTCCGTTGGAACTCATACTCTCAGCTGAACGCAGAGCCCGATGCGAGAATTGAAACACATCTTTTAGAGAGGGATCAAACCTTTGAACCGGGTGATCAATAGACGCGGAGCATTGTAAACTTTGTCTACATATGTTTTGCCATTTCTCTTTTATTGTAATTCATCCATATTATTTTGCCTTATGTATTGGCATCTTGAATTGCAAAGGTTTATTCGTTATCGTCTATTTATCCTGTTATTTTCTCGCTTTTACTGAATTGTAATTGGCATAACCAGTCATTTACCCAGGGGATCTTCGAAACATCTTGGTGATGTTTTCATCAGCCGCCTTCCATTTCTAAAGCTTATTTTCCCTTACAAGTTTGAGTTGGAGTTGGATAAGGTGGGGTGGGGGAGTCTTTATGTGGAGTGGGAGTATCTAGAAGTAGAGGTGGGACTTATTCGAAACACTGATTGTTAGAAAAGAAAAATGGAGGACCATAATGTCAAGTTATGATATTCTAATTTCTGTTCTGGATGAGGGGAAGGACTGTCTTTTAAGGAGATTTGAGTGATATCAGGATACCGTTACAAAAACTATAACTTACTTTTGATTGAATGGAAAACCGCAAAAACGTTACATGAAGGGAACCACTTCAACCATAACAAAACTCAGTCAGTAGTCTAATTGCCTGGTTTCTTTCTGTTTTATAGAAGTCACTGTTACTTATACCTAAGTGACCTTTTGTAGGTGAGCATATAAAATCCTAGGGTTTTCCGGTGTTACGGCAGGTGGTCGCCGCCTACGAGAATCGAACCACAGCAGGTTGTCTCACAGACGGCCCAAGCTCAAAATATGACCATCGACCGATTGTTGCGTAACCATCACAATATAAGAATTTGTAGGGGGAACAAAACAAAGTTTCTGTAGCCAACGAATGTGAAAGGATTTAAATAAAAATCGGCCAACCTCACTTAAGTCGTGTGTTTCTTCTTTCAGTAAATTTCTGTGTGATCCCCAAGCCAATTTAGTGTAGTTTTACGTGTTTTGTTGGAACCGGTTCAAAAACCAAACCGGAAGCAAGCTGAAGCAGAAACAATCGGTTTTTTCGTCATACAAATCCTTATATTTTGAAGGATACGCAACAAAACCGTTAGTCACTGTACATGTATTTCGAGTTTGGGCCGGCAGCTGTAGTTGTTTCTTCCAAGGAATAGTCTCCAGCACATCTAACTTTTGAAAAAGCATTTCTGCATGCAGTTTCTAAGTTACCGCGATATGTAGCCTTTTCCATGTCTTCACTGAACTTACTTCGTATACTCTGAGTGGCTTAGTACATACAGCTTACTAAGAGACTAGTTTTACTTATTTATTACACCAGGTGCGTGAAGTGGTCGCTTACAAGAGCTTAAAAAACAATGGAAAATTATAAAACCGTAACGATAGGCAGGGGCACCCAACGACGGTTTCCTCAAAAATACACTGACGACACTTTTTAGGCTACCCAGAGTACTTTCAATTTTAGATGTCTAGAAATGCATTTTAAGCAGCGCTATAAAATTTGTATCTGTTGGGTCATCCAGGGGGAACTTGAGTCCGTTCGAAATTACAAGGGCTTTAGTATTATTTTCCGGAAAATTTTCGATGCAATTTGACGTATATAACAAAAGTGTGACATTTTCTGATTTCTCTCTTCATTGCATTTTTGAGTCCGAAAATTTTAGGTTTCCTTTTCTCTAAGGTCCTCCACGAAAAATAGTCTAACTTGGGAAGTGAAATGTGAAAATTAAACTTCAGAAAATCATGGGGAATTTATTAGATAAGCTTGGAAAATTGTCCTACCACATATCGAGAAGCGACTACCAGTCCAGAACACCAAAAGTTTCCCAGTCAAATCTGTATTCAGATGCACCCACGACTGTTTTCCGTGAAAAATCTGTTCAGCGAGGCAAATATTGCCTAGAGTGGAACGGTCATCTAGAAATTTTCAGCCGTCCTCAAGTAATAGAAAATCCCAGGCAATATTTGCTTCGCCGAACAGATATTTTACAGAAAACGGTCGTACGGTGCCCCTGAACAAGCAGGGTTTTGACTGAAAAACTTCTCGTGTTCTGGACCACTGGTCTCTTCTCGATAGGTGGCAGGAGGTGGTCGCTTTCAAGGGGTGGTCCCGAGAGATTTGAATGTAGTTCAGCTGGGCGAAATAATGCGTGTCTTTAAAAGTGCCCTTTAATTACCGTAAGAGCTGGCCTTGCAGTCATCATAGTTTATTTGTTTCTCTCGCATCGCTCAGAATGCCATTTTATTTTTCGCCATTTCGCTATACGCATTTACAGTCGCTGAATTTGCAGCTTTCACTAGGGAGAAATCTATTGTCCAAGTAAGTAATTATTCAAATTTAGGTTGGTTTTAAGTATTCCCAAGACAAATTCAAATCAAGTTAAGGAGAGAAGAGAGTTTACAAGAATGAGCGAGCCGGTAAGTATGATAGAAATGTTGACTTTGTGACCACCTTAATTAATTTTTACATTAAACTTGATGTGAAGCTTCTTTAAATAGCAATCACAAATGAGCACACCGTCGGTCTCAGCTCAGCCAAATGCCTATTTCGAGCTGCATGCCGTCGTAAAATAAGGCACATTTCCCTTCATACCTTTTTGAAAGCCGTTTTTCATTTCTACCTAAACGGACCGGTTACAATCACACAAATGAGCACAACGTCGGACTCAGGTTTGTAAGTGATCAGATGTCTTTTTCGAGCTACCAACGTAAAATAAGAACACTGTACCCTTCACCTTTTTACAGGTATCTCGGCCTAACAGACCGTCTGATGGATACACATGAATAACACGTGCTCTGGGCCGTGACAGAAGTTTTAAAAGTTTTTGCCTTTTGTTTTCCAAATTACAGTCAGACCTTCTTAACACTGCTGAACAAAGGGAGAAAGCTAATATGAGATCGCTTTCCAAGGGTGGTGATTTGTTAGTTATTTATTACAGCGTCTTTGGGACAAAGAGAATGGCTCTCCTTGATAAAGAGCTTCTTGTTTTTTGAAGGTGTCTATATGCAAAATTTTATCCAGTCTACCCTTTATTAAATCATTTGTTTTCTTTTTTAACTGTAAAATTGAATCAGATGCTATCATACAAAGGAAAAGTAAAAGGGAAAGAAAATATTGAACACAACGCTTGCCTGGGAAGGGATCGTTTCCTGTGAAGCGACCCGTACTGGTTTAAACGCTTGGGAACCGTTATGAACGATCAAGCTTGTCTGCCTTGGGTGAAAAACATGATGTGATTATTTACCTCTTTATGCACGCGTTTTTCAATCCATCCATAATGCAACTGGCTTTTTAGGAGTGGAGGGAGGGGTGAAATCAAGGTTTATTCCTCTGTCACGTTGTGTCTCACACTACAGGAAATCAATTGAATATCGAACCTGTAGAACAGTCTACATTCCCTGAGAAAATCACGAGAAAGGAAGGGTTTTCCGGAGTAAAAAACGAATGAATGAATGTTTTGGGCATTTACCGTGCTGTCACGCGCCGTCACGCGCCGCCTTCTTTGTGTCCACCTGGTGGATCATCACACGAGGCATCGATGCTGTACCACACTCATCTGGCGCAAAGGATCACGTGCAAGCTGTAATAAATACCCATACTGACCTCCCGTGTCAAACATTAAATACAGTGACGCTGTAAGGATAGACAGGAAATACGCTGACAAAAAAAATATCCATCGTTGGAAGTTAAATCATGAAGGGCGAAGACGTTTATTTCGATTACAACTTTGGGTCTGATACTCCGAAGAAAAACAACGAACGAATATGGGCTGTTTTAATTGCTTGCTTAGTGGCGGCGTTTGGCCCATTCAGCTTTGGATATGGCATGGGATACTCGTCTGCCGCAGTGGTACAACTATCGGACGTCAATACGACTGATCTGTATCTGAATGAGGCAGAGATCACTTGGTTTGGGGTGAGTTTAACTCGCGTGTTTTTCTTATGCATTACATTAGATATGAGTGCCCTTTTCTGTGAGATAAATAAGATAGCGTGTTTTGTAAATGCCATATCGAGTGCGGAAATGCGGGTAATCAGTAAGCTTAACTCCTGGTGGGCTTTTCTCCCGGACCTTTGCTTCTGATATCTTAACACCAACTTGCACCTCTCCAGAGTTCCACAGCAAGGAAAAAGTTAATATAAAGTGCCTCTAATGTAAATATATGTTGATTCAGAAGATATTAAATCAAAACTAGCAAAACACGAATCTATCGGACCAACCGGATATGTTGACTTAAGGTAGAGATTAAAGACGTCGTAATGTAAAAGAAGAAAATATGAAAGAAATCATATGAAATAGACAGTAAAAGCCATTTCACTGCTCACGACGTTTCTGAGCAACACTTAACAACGATACCACTTGCGATATGCTTCAATTTCCTTAGTCTTTTTCGCATTTAGCTCGGCGATGTACCAACTCGCTTACTCTTTTAAGAGCCACTTAAATATGATTTCAGGGTTGACAAACCACTGGCGTTGCTGTGTGAAAACAAAAGAGAATAACTCTCTCGTGGTGCAACTGTATATGATAAAAAATGCGTCATTTTATGGCGTTGATAGTTAGTCTCTAGGATGAGACCATGATCTTTATTTAAGGGATCTAAGCAAAGAGAAAAAAAGTGCATGCGTCACCGCTTGATCGGTTAAGGGGTTAGTTAAATCCGGTGTGTGATTCGTAATCACATGGAGATAAGCCAGACATAGAGATATGCTTTTTGCTAAACGTCGGTGAAATTTCCGCCTTACAAATGTTAGTATTAAACTCTTTGGCAAAACATATTAGCATTAATATCATCACTGCAAATCATATCGTAAATCCGTCAATGGCTTTTAGCGAAATAACTTTCGCGATCATTGCTACATATATTACCTAATCTTGTCGTCGATGCAACACTCGTGATGTCGTGACTCTTTGACCTGCCTTTTCCCGGTGATGACAGTTTGTATTCTGACCGACCTACCATGCTGGATACGATATCACGCGCCTATTTATCACGTGGAAGTTCCTTTTCAGAAAGTTCCTGTAAAATTTATGCCAAAAATTATGACCTTGCACAAATGGCTTTACCGAAAAACAAAAAGAAAGATCCTCTAGGAGGTTCCAAGAGAAAACCTCAGTCGAAAAAACAAACAACAAACAAACAAAAAAACAACAACAGCAATAACATCAACAAGAGGACTTTAAGCGATTTTTCCCAATCGAACTTTAAAACGTAAGGCCAACTTTTGCAAGTTTCAATTAATTTCCTTTTTTACACGTCATTAAACAAAGACACGTACAGTTTCAATGATAAATTTTACCAGGAATCAGGGCACTATATATTTTCATTTGACTTTTTAGACCGACACTGACACTGTTGAATTTTTCAATCAGCTCAATCAAAATCTTGGAGTAATCCTGGTCGTCAACATTTGTGAAATCGCAAACTGTAAAACGAGTTTTTTTCAAAGCAGCCTTTTTCGTTTAAAATACCCCTGACAATATTAAAAGAAAGAAAAAAAACTGATCGTGAAAGGAGGGATATTCCATAAAAGGTTTCTTATCTCCCATAGGAGAGAAAAAAAGCCGCACACAGTTTGTTAACTTTGGTCAGTATTTCACAATGAATGACGCAGATTTATCACGCGAGTGTAATTTCCGTATTCAACTTTACAGCTGGGTCTTACATAAGGCAAATTTTTTCACATAGGCTATAGTCACGTTTGCGAGATTATTTTTGTAAGGTACAAGCAAGCTCATACCTCACCCCTGGTCTTGTTTCCTGTGTTCCTGTACGTCAGTGCAGTGAAATCTGCACGAGCGGATACCCGCGCGAGGGACTGTCTCTCCGATTAAGAATGTTTCGCTGTATACAAAATATGGGAGAATAAAGGACTTTTGTTTCCGCCACATCACATCTTAATCAAAGGTGAAACACGAACAGCGGCGATGAACATTGTAGGCGCTTTGTATGCTCGTCAGCATGCAATTTTCAAAACTTTTTGTCGTTAACTATAACGGTCACTTTTGAAAATGTATGTTGATTAGCATTTTTATATCAAGTTGATATAAATATGTTTCAATTTACAACGTTTATCACCTCGCGGTTTGTGATTTATTTTTTTCTGGGGAAAATATATTAACTTTGGGAGTCGCATACGTTCGTGTTCGCGTAGAAGTCTGAATGTTGGCCATCTTCAGTTATTGCAATTTGAATATCGAAATTGTGTTTGAAAAAATAAAGTAAGTTTTCAAAGCTATTCTTCTGAAACTTTGATGTAGTTAAGCTTTTATAATGTCACGATTTTCACTTATTTTCAAACGCCGAGGAAAAGAATGTTCGTAACCATGGAAACCACTGTCAACAAACCATGTGTCATAGCTACCTTACTAAGCCAAAAAGGTCTTAAACCGTCCGTTTTCACTCTCGAACTTTCTATTGAATTTGCGTTCTGTTATCCTTTGGTTTACTTCTTTATGAAACGCGACTGAATATTATATACATTATTTTATGCAATCTTATTTAACCTTTATTCAAAAGTCAAACGTTCTGCAACGGGGATGCCATCATGCAGGACGTAAATGAATAAAAATTAAATTAAATTGATAATAAAAAGAAAAAAGTATCCCAAAATAGATAAAACTGATAAAAAGAATATACAGCAGCGTATTTCCTTTATATGCGCTGCCAGCCCATTACATCCGAGATTACATAATCGAGAGTCTGAGATTGTGAAAGAAAAAAGTTGCCTCGTGTTTGCTTACTGTTTTTAAAATCACAAGTTTGTCACTGTCTTTTGTTTTTTTTAGCTTATGTTCTGATGAACAATAGTTAATTAAATTTCACCAGCGGGGCTCCTTGTTTCTCGTTTTGCGATATTACCGTTCATCTTCGACCTTTTGAAGTTCGGAACGTGTATAGACTAACTACCAAACTACCAGGCTCCAAGACAAATCTAACACGTCGCTAGTAGGGAAAAAAAATGCAAATTGTGCGTTATTTATTTAACGCAAAATAAATATTTTTGTTTTAACACAAAGTTCCCTCTCTCCCCCATTATTTGTAATCTCAAAACGGTAAAAAAATCGCCAAATTTCGGGAAGTTTCCAGATTTTCTTGCCTAAGCTATTAGTTCATTTTCCTGTTCCGCGAGTTCGCTTTGCGCTCCCTCTTTCCCGTTTTACTATGTTTTTACCTTTACCCTCCTTAATTTGTTAGAAAAACACGACTTTTAATGATTCTGAAGTTTTGGCAAATGGACCAATAACACGATAGTATTTGGACAAAACATCTTCTTAAAATGTGACCCCGCTTGAACTTGCTTACCCTCCATAAATTTCCCTTGTTTATAATTGGATAATTGGTCAGTTCAGTTTGATTCTAAATCATGTGAGGGCTCGTTTTGCAACTTACCGTGTTTCATTTACGGCTCAGATTCTTAGGCAAAGGACTGCGTTCTAATGTTATGAAACATTGTAAATGCAAGTTAAGGAGGAACTAACAAATTTATTTACCTTCACTTCATAAGTTTCAAACTTTTGTTATTTGTTTCCGTACCTTACAGAAGTTCAAAGGTCGATAAAACTAAATTTAGTTTTAACGACTCAAACGATTTCAAGCGCTCTGTTATAGCACGTTTCAGAGTTTGAGAACAGTAAAGCCATCTGCACATATAAGTTTATCATAATCGTCTTACATAGAAGTAAATTAAAACCGTCTTTACAGTAAAGATAACAATTCAGCTGGAACGAGCCCAACACTAGCACTGAAATTAGAGAGATTAATTAAAATATAGAAAAATACAAATGTAAGCACATCATCGACGTGATACGGTAGCCAGGAACATAAGAACACTGTTCAGTGATCAAACGAATTATGCCAAGGCAAATGAGAAGCTTTCAAGGTTTTATTTACTCTGCTGAGTTCATATACGTGATCTACGACGTACTGTGCAGATTGTGTATTACCAGAAAATCAGGGGCACCCAACGGAAAGTTTTGGGAAAAAGACCTAAAAGCAACAACAAAGCGTAAATAAAGCTTTCTGAAGCCGTTTGAAGCATTTTGGGAAATTGCTGGGAAAAACATTTATCTGCTCCTCACTCCCAGGAAGACTGATGGAAGTGTTCCCAGCCAGCAAGGTGCACCTACAACCTACAACCTGACTTAGTGGGAAGACGTATGTCCAGATATTACTAGCCAGTTTAGTGTGGTCCTAGGCCAAATTCAGACCTTCAAGGAGGGGGTGGTGGGGTTTGGATAGAAAAATGAGTCTAATGTCATGGAGACATTCACCCCTTCAGTGGGAGGGGGCGGGAGGAGAGGTTTCTGACTAATAACACATGGAAGCTATTCTAGACATCAAATCCACTCGGACACCCTGAATTGTCTTTTTGCTAGCAACATTTTCCTTCCAAGGATATATTATTTCTTCCACATCTCCCAGCCAGCAAAAATTTCGCTGAAGAACCGATAACTTGAGGAACAGGTTCAATGGGTGCCCCTGGAAAATAACCATAACCCTAACTTCTCTACTATGTTTAAAACGATGAATTAAAATGGAGCAAATTGCATGATAGGTTACTAGGTTCAATCTCCACTACTTTCTCGGGCGAGATCTTGAACCCGTCCCCGAGAAGAGCCTTACAACCGTGGGGAGGAGCGCAGTCTCATTTCTCCAATAATGGTTGGTGATTGAGTCTAATGATTAGAAGGAAATACTCTATTGCAATAACATTGTCTTGGAAAATTTCCAAGAGGGAAAATGACAAAAAAAAGGAAAAGGAGAAAGCCAAATATATATCAATTAGGCTTTAATACTAATAAACCTAGATTAGGCTCGAATACCAGCCGCTGTTCGAGAAATGACCCCGCACTCAACCCCCACCCCCGAACAGACTTTGCTCGGGGAAGACCAAGAGAGCGGCGAAAATCGAGCCTATGGCTTCATAGGATAAATTTACGTTTCTGGGAAACTGCCCACCGACCCCTCCCCTAACCCAACCTTTTGCCCTAAGTGAGACGTAAGTGTTCATGTTGACTTAGGGGAGGGGTTGGTGGGCAGTTTCCCAGAAACCTAAATTGATCGTCTTCATTATGCATAGCCTATGCATAGGGTTTTATAATTAGGGTGTGAAAACAAATGCAAATGCGATGGCTGCTCGCGAATTAGTATGGTGCGAATAAAAATAAATAAATAAATAAAAATGCATGCTATAGTGGATTATTGCGGAGGAGTAGTAAGTCTAATTAATTCCTATTTGGCTTATACATTTTTTATCATGCCTTTAAGCATTCTTCAATGACGACTTTATTGCAGTTAGATGTATGTGACGTGTAGTAACACTAATCAATTTTGGAAACTTTCTTTCAACAACAGTCACTTCTCAACATTGGCGCAATGATAGGTGGCCCAATCGGAGGCTGGGCAATTGACTTCGTCGGTCGCAAGATCGCTCTTATGATCACTGCGATTCCATTCACTGGCGGCTGGCTCTTAATTGGCTTTGGAACGAACGCGGCACTTTTGAATTCCGGAAGGTTCTTCTCTGGCCTGGGTGTTGGGATGGCATCGCTTATTGTTCCGGTAAGTTTAACTCTTGAGCTCAGTTGTCGGAAGGGAATTCTCCCCAAATTTTAGGTTGCCTAAACTGTAAAACAGCTGATTTTTGTCAAAATCGCTTCCGCAAGGCGCTAAGCGCCGGCGCGAGATTTGTGCGTGAAGCGCGCCGCGAGCCTTCTTCTAACTATTCGTTTTCACACTCACTCCAGACTTTCGTTTGACCACTTGTGTACACGTTCTAAAACTCGGCAAAATAGGAGCCGTTTTGCAGTTTATAGGTCACACATTTTACTTGCTTGATTTACTGTTAACCCAGGATTGAGTTAACTTGCTTATCTAACCGGGCCCAGATTGGGCCATCAAATTTCAGTCGCCGCTTTTCCTTCATTCACGACCATATCATTGAGGACCACCGAGCGAGCGTTTCTTAATGAAAGCTGTTACTCAGATTGGATTGTTCTTAAAATAAAGTTTTTTCGTTAGATAGTATCAGTGTTGGTCCTAATGAGATTTGACATTTCCTTGTAGGTCTACATCTCCGAAACTGCCCCAAGTCGTCTTCGAGGAGTATTCGGAGCCTTTAACCAAATTGGAATCGTTACTGGTATTCTAATGTCGTACGTAATCGGTTATGTTGTGGACTGGCGTTGGTCTGCCATAGCAGGAGTGGGACCTCCAACGTGTCTGGTTATATTCATGTTTTTCATGCCAGAAACCGCACGATGGTTGCTGGCTCACAACAAAGAAGAACGCGCCGAACGAACTTTGACGTGGCTCCGAGGACCGAATGTTAAAATTGAAGGCGAGATAAAAGAGATTAAGGAGAGCTTCGGTAAGCATCTACTTATGTGTAACACATGACGCTACTGTCAGATTAAAAAGACCTCTTTAGGTAATTCATCGTAGCTTAAGTGCTTATTCTTAACAACAGGTTGTTCTTGTCAAGTAAGCCTGAAGAATAGGCGTTATCTTTTACGCGTTTTTCAACGCCCGCCCACGCCCGATAAATAGAAAATAGTTATTTTAAAAATTAAATTATGGTCTATCTTATACACCATCATTTATGTTGCTTTTATCAGACCACCAAGAGAAGATGTCATTCAGAGAGTTTCTAAATCCAAGTATCCTTCGGCCCTTCTGCATCAGTATGGCGTTGCATTTTTTCCAGCAAACAACCGGGATCAACGCCGTTATGTTCTACTGCGCTACAATCTTTCAAACAGCTGGATTTCAGAACGAAAGCACCATGGTATCAATTCTGATAGGTTTGATCCAGTTCCTGGCTTCAGCGGTATCTCTGCTCATGATCGATCGAGGCGGACGCCGTTTTCTGCTTATTGTCGGTGGAACAGGCATGTTCGTCAGCTGCTTCGCAATGGGCGCGTACTTTTTCATGACGATCAACGATGCCGCGTCGTACCCTGGTATCGAGATTTCATGGTTAGCGGTCACAAGCATTGCCGTATACATCGTTGGTTTTGTAATGGCATGGGGTCCTTGTACCTGGCTGATAATGAGTGAGATCTTTCCCGTGAGGGCCCGGGGCAGGGCTAGTGGAATCTGCACCCTTTTTAACTGGTTCTGTTCATTTGTGATCACAAAGACATTTAGCGGTCTTCTCAAAGCTTTCACGGCAGCCGGAACCTTCTGGTTTTTTGGAAGTCTAGCGTTTTTAGCAGTCCTGTTTGTCTTCTTTTTTGTACCAGAAACGAAAGGCAAATCATTGGAAGAGATTCAACAGTATTTTGAAAGCAAGGGAAAAAACAATTCTAAAAACCCCACCCCGGATCGAGAGACTGACGTGTGATTATGACAACATGCTGGCCTTACACTTACCATTTGCCTAAGAAACATAAATTAAATGAAGCAACCAACTTTTAAGAAATGGACTCCATCAACTAAACGACCGCACTTGGTGACTAGTGATCTGAAATGCTGTACAAACTCACCAAAATAGACCTTCGCATGGTGCCTTTCACAAGACACAAAAAGACCTTTTCATTAAGAGACACTAGAGGGAACACTAGGTATTATTTTGACCTACCGATCCGTTGTTGCGCAGCGTCGTCATCCAGCCTATCCAGACCGCCTTATATCAAAATCAACTGTCTCTTCCGTTCATGCTAATGTGCGTTAATTACGGGTAAAAGCGAAAAAAAAAAAAAAATATGCCGAACCTGCAGTGTATAACTGTTGTAGCAATCCTTTTGCTCTCAAGGATTTGACGAAATGTCTCTCCATAAGCTGCGGCCGAACTGCTGGGGGCTGGGGAGGGAGTACCTACGGATTTCAAATGACGGGGATGATCGAGGGAGGGGGCGTTGTTGAAAGCCCTAGGAATGTTTAAGGTTTTCCTTTTTCCCTATTCACCCCCCTCATTTGAAATCCTTCTGGGCTGAATGGTGCCTTTCTCGTTATCCCCCGAAGTTCAAGAGTGAATCTAGTATTACTGCTTTAAGGTAGCGTTAATTAAGACATCCTTGGAGATTTAGAGACCCGGTATTAAATAAGAGCAATAAGAAATGAAGACTGCCAACAAGAATCGGCACGACCACGAGGGAATCCCTGGAGAACGTGGTCATTGTAAACCCATGACAGAATGTTTCCAGTGTCACTTTCGTTCTTTCTCCTACTAGGTGCAGGCTTAGATTTTCAAGGAAGTTAGTTAAGACGTTAAGCTATTGCATTATTTTGCTGCAATAATAAGTGTGCTTGGCAGCAGCAAACGAGAGAATGGATAAATTAGAGTAAACAACTGAAAGGGTGCGTTCGATTGATCGTATTCCGGAATAAGAACACGCCAACGTTTTGTAGCAAATCTCTCTCACCGTGCTCTTTGGGCCACTTAAACGCTTCAGTCATCGGGATATCTTATTTCAAGCAGATATCTAGTTATTGCAAAGCAATGACCGCTAAAATGAGTGATTTCATGAGTTCATTCCACTTATTCTTATTTCGTAATACGGTGAGTCGAACACGCCCAGAAACAAACGCTAATCAAAAGTACGGCGCAGGTAGTAATGGTCAAAACATGCCCAGTTCGACTAATTGTTGTATGGTAAAGATTTTGATTGCTTAAGTCTACTGATGGAGTAAATTGGCTAGTGTTCTATTACTACTTTTATGGGGCATGGCTTTCAGGTTAACCTGTTTCCATTGCTATGGGGTAGACCATTTACAAAAGGATTTTTTCTCAGTTGTTGTTGTACGCATAAGACTGTTAACTCGGTGTAAGATTTTTTGTATATAAATATTTAATTGTTTTTTTCTGAGACTAATGGTCGCACTCTAAGTGCTTTTCGATTTCAAGATATTTTTTTCCTTTATCGACAAAATGGAAACTTATCTAGATGACAGAACGATAGAATGCTGGCACAGGTTGACCTAACTGTCACGCCACGTGAAATGTCTTTGAATATGATTGGTTTGCCAGATTGTCCGCGCATGCGCCTGTTGTCATTTTAATGGTTTGCCAGATTGTCCGCGCATGCGCCTGCTGTCATTTGACCCTTTCTTCTTCTTTAAAGTAAAATAGGTCAATGTTTCTAGAAAGCGATTTATCCAATGGATAGTTTAAGTTTTTTTTTGCATTATATGATATGATACATTCATGACTGAACGCTATTGGTTTTTGAAGCTAAATTTGTTAGTTGCTAGCTTTATGTTGGTTTTGACCATGATGTTAAAAGCACTAAAGAAACGAACAAAAATTGTAATAATGAATTATTTAAAACGCGCTTTTGTAATTTAGTTCTCTTTTCACGTCTTCGACTGGCTTACATAATTCCACTTGAGTGGCTTAGGGTGATCGAGAGGTTATGGATTCTATTTTACCCTTATTTCATTAAAAGTTATAATAACTAAAAGTGACGGTTGGCTTTGTGTTGTAGATTTTGCTTTCAATTCATGCATCAGTACGGTGGATAGCCCCAAAGCATCACTAGCGATGCTCATAGGTATTGAAGGAAACCCAATATGGGCGAGTAGGCGTGGCTTGGGCTTTATTTCACCCCTAAAAGTCACAATTCGTTTATTAACAGTTATCTAATTTCCGGAAACTTCGATTTAGACCAAGGAGTTATGGGTAATTTAAATTGCATAAAGGATGTCTAAATTGTTCGCTGTCTTCAAAACAGCGTTGGAGGGGTCTTTTTTTTCTTTGTATGTATTTCGCTAAACATTACGCTAAGCGATATCTGTATGGGCAAAAATAACTGCTTTCCGCCCTGTACGCCCTTTATGAGACCAAAAACTGCAATTAACACTCCTGTTAGAGTAAGGCGACGAGTAACCACGTGATTTTCTTATGGGTAGACCTCTAGGATTCTCCGGCTTGTCGCGCGGGTGAGCGAGCGAGCGCAGCGAGGCAAACGCGCGAGGGAGAAGATGAAAAAAGAAGTCTTCTTTGTTTTCGTTTTCTCTCCTCAGTCCGCAGAGGTTCATGCCAATCACGCGTTATTGGATTTCTCCACCTTTGAGCCTCTGTGGAGAAGAGAGGTTTTCGTATTCTCCCTCGCGCGTTTCCTTGGCTTGCTCGCCCTCGCGAAAATCCTGAGGGTCTACTAGCAATCTACCATCGCATTGTAGTCCTACCGTGATACGCCCCACACCCGATCCTCTTTCTTGGCCGTTATTTCAAATAAGCCCCGACGTTTCTCCCTGCAGGGGAAGAAAACAAACTCAGCGTTCATGGCCAGTACCCTACGCATGCGCGCACCCATATATCCGGTAGTGGCATGAAGGAGATGGACAGCATATTCACAAGTTCACTTTTTCAAGCTAGACACTTAAGGTGCGTTTGATTGGTGGTATTCCGGAATACGAATACGAATAAAATTGTGACAAATCGGTTCAACCCCAACTTTTTGGACCATTGGAATACTACATTGATAGTGGAGTTCTCACGCGCGAAGCGCGCGCAGCGGAACACCATGGGTAAGAAAATGTGGTAAACTACTTATTCGAGACAATTTAGTAATCACGTGACCGTACCCCGAACGATCGCCCGACCGTCCGTCAGCACCACAGGTACACTAATGTAAAATAACTCAATCAACAGGCATGGCAACCCAAATGCAACTCGAGGTTATTTCGACGGCAAATCGCGTAGCCACCCACGTCTTGTGAAGCAGAGACTGCAAAAGAGTCAATGAAGACGAAAACGGATTGCGGAACTTGTCTCTGTATCCGTATCTCCTTATCTCTTTATTAAGCTTATATTAATTGTCATGTTCACAAATTTGGAATATAGAGCAAAGGAAAGACAGAGAAAAAGAGAAAGTAGGCGGCAGGCCATTGAAGTTCAATGAGAAAAAGGGCGACAGAGATCTAGAGCGAGAGGGAGAGAGAGAGAGAGAAAAAAGGAGACATTTAATTGTTGGACTGAGAACAACGTGAAAATTTTGTTCCGGCGGTGACAAAATGAGAAATGCTAGCGGCCACCAATGCAAGGTGAAAATGAGCAGCAGTGAAAAAAAAGTGAACGAGAAAAGTACGATATTTCCTCCATAAAACTGTGTAACTAATTAAGAAGTTCCTGGAAGTTTCACGTTGTAGTCGTGCAAAACAACGGCAAAGAAATGTACAAAAAGGTGTGCTGCACGTGCAAAGTTGCTTTTTTGCTAATTAGACCTATTGTTGTTTTTCACCCTTCTCCTGAGTTGCCTTTGCCGCTCAGCATTACACGATTTTATATTTTGTTTGAACAAACTATAAATAATATCGATAGCTTTGCTTTTAGCCCTGGCTAAAGCTATATATTATTTTCAAATTGTGAAAGGAAAACACCCTTCATTAGTTTTTAATATTTTCATACTGATTTGAATAATTAAGCCTTCGACTTAGTTGTCACTTCATAACCGTCAACCTTCAAAAGCTCTTTTTGCACAGATACCACTTTAAATTTTGCAAAGTGACTATGCCTGATTTAACCAGGTAAAGGGGTATTATCAGGCTTTAATGCCTTTTTCTTCAGATAGTCCAGCAGACAGAATCTTAAAGATTTAAAGAGGATAGAAACCGAGTACAGTTCGAGGAAGAAGTGATATAATCATGGTCCTGAGTCCCCTTTATTAGCTTTCATTTCGCCGAGCCCCGATACAAAAACAAGAGGCCCACTCAACGCGCCTAAATAAAACCGACTGGTTCTTTCTTTCTGGATCTCTAACAAAACTGAATGCAAGGCTGGCAATACGGCAAAGGGCTGATTTATTTATATCTGTAGCCGTTGTAGTATTCTTTTTCAGCGTAGCTCTGGCCGTGAGGAAGGCTAATTTTGTTAGCCGAGATATTGGCCTCAAATAAATCAACACTTTGCCATATTGCCAGCCTCGCATTCAGTTTGTAACAACAACAAATCTACCTTACTCTGATTGTTCAAAAATCTTGGATGGTGCTAATATTCCGGCTGATAAGTCACTATTCAGTGGGGTAGTGCGTAATTCATTGGATGATTTTTATGACAGGAAACGAGAAGTCAAAAAACTACTGCAGAAGATGAAACAAGTGTACTTTTCCAAACGATATTTCGGCTGGCCAGAACAACCCTCTTCAGGTTTACAGATGTCAGATCTTTCGTTAGCAAAAACAGATCTTCCAGGAGTAAATTACTTTTCTTAAGTGACTTTTTTTTTGGACAACAATAGAGGCGTTTTGTTACTGTGCGAAAATAACGAATTAAGTGGAGCACTTGTCAAAGCACGTGGACAGGCCCCCGAAACGAGTAAGACTGGAACTAATATCCAAAATGGCGGCCATTGCTGATGAAACTTGGACTCTACATCTACAGCCACCAAAGACCAAAAAAGGTTAGTTTTTGTCTGCCTGTTTGTTTGTTTGCTTCTTAACACAGAAATCAGGGAGAAAGGCTGTCTTTTTAAGGGTTTTATTGAAGCTGATCTGTAATTTACGTTGGCGTCTCATCCTTGTAGACTAGTTTTCAGTTTGGATGAACAAATCAATTTGAACTAGAAACTAGGCATGATGTGCAGTTGATCTGTCGACATCTTTTAAGGAAACGAAACAGTACTTTATTTTAAGTCCTTTTTTCTCATCCTGGGTAAAGATTGACTCCTATATCCTACTGTATTTTGCTTGGTATATGGAACCTTTGTCATAGTAGTGACAGAGAATGCAAATGCCTAGCCTGTGTCATCGGTTTACCCCAGGGGTAGGACCCCGGGCCAACCGGGGGAATAATTAAGCAAGTGGAGGATAGTTAAAAATTTTTACTCAGGGAAGTGAGAGTTTACCAATTAAGACAAATCCCCTGGGATCAAGTGCCCACTTCTCAACGAAAAATCCCTCTGATATCCTGTCCACGGGTACAAAATGCAGAATGCAGACTGCAGACTAAGTACAAAATGCAGAATGAGAAGAAAAACAGTTTTCTTTTTTTTCCTTGCCAATATAACAACTTATGTATTGTCACACAATGCTGTTCCAAGGCCATTTTCCACAGAAATTCTGGAAACCTATTTTTGTTCTTGAAATGGGCCAAGAATATTATATTTTCAGGTTGAAATCCCGACATCTTTGCAATTAATGCAATTGAGATAAAGAAGGCTAATTGACAAAACTATAATATATAGTTTTAATCGCAATCTCCTGAAAATTTCCATCATTTCACAGGCCGCCCAAGCTCAATTTAGTATCCAGTAGGCGATAAAAAACATAACAGGTGTTGTGTTACGACGGTCGGTTCAAAGATTACAAAAGTTTGTATGGGATCGTGACGGATTTAATTTTTTAAGAAAATAAATAGAAAGTTAACCGCAAGTATAAAGGCACCCGCAGAATGAAATTGGCTTAAAAACCATGAGTAGTTTGGCAAAAAATGGCAAAAAAGCAGTCGCCAGCTTCACAGTCTACTGACTCTATGATAGTTTGGGGCCAAATTTTACTAGTTTATTTTAGACTTGGAATGAGCAATATAATATCTTCACTGGAAAATATGTACAGTATGGTAGTGTTCATTTATCCTTCAGGAGGGGGAAGGATGTGTTAAATCATGGGGGGGGGGAGGGTGGGGAGCAGAAAAGTTTAAGATGCTTCCTTGGTCAATCAAATCCTAGATATCACACTGATAATAATAATGATAATGATGACAATGACAATGACGACAACAACATGCCCTAGACCATGGACCACCTTAATGGCTCACAGAGGGATGTACTGTCCTCATTCAAAAGAGCAGGGCAAAGGGTCTGATCCCTTCAAACTATAGACTAATAACATGCCTATGCACAGTATGGAAGATATTAAATGGCATAAGCGCAGATGAAGTATATACTCATTTTGAGAGCCAAAATGTAATTCTGGTCGAACTAAAGGGATGTAGAAAGAACACCAGTGGAACAAAAGATCAGCTGCTGATTGATAAGCTCTTGCTACTTGACAGTAGGGCAAAACATAAGAACCAGGAACTTTTGTGGATAGACTACAAGAAGGCTTATGATTCTGTTCTGCACAGCTGGATCTGGAACTGCCTGCAGATATTTAAAATCAGCGACAATGTAGTCTTTTTCTTGCATCAGGCCATGAAGACCTGGCGGA